ATGCGCAGCAGCAAGAAGGTTTCGGTCATCCCTTGAGGGTGAGTCTAGCCCTGCTCGCCAGAAAGACCCCCCCCTTCACTACAACCCATGTCTAAGCAAAAGCTTGTCGAGGAGCGAGGGGAAGAAGGGAGAGTCTGTGCGTATTTTTGTTCCTGTTGGAATTGAATGTGTGGAATGGCTTTGGCTGGAATTTTTTTCTTGACGTTCGTTGTGCGGTTTGTTACAGAAAACAGGGCAACCCTGCTGTTTGGTTCAGTGGCCATTACGTGGTATGCCAGCGGTGTTCCATTTTACAGCAATAATAGTGGCCCGCACTGCTATGGCTGTTGATTGTTTTAATTTGAAATTTTATGCTATATTTTGTTGCATCGATAATTAATTATTGGGGGGGGACGGAATATGTCCATGATTCTAGAGGCACTGACAGCAACTGATTTGGTGTTGTGATGGGTTTGACACTGTTACAGCAGGGGGGGCTGTTGAAGGCGCATTTGCTACAGCAGGGGCTGTTGGAGGCTGATGAGGAGTGCAGAGATTCCTGTTGGTGCAACTGGTGTGGATTTGAACTGGTTGAGCAGCACGTTCGGAGAGGAGAGCGTGAAGCAATCGAGGAAGGTTTGGAGGTTCATGTTTGCTAAGATAACAGCTCAACCCGTACAAGCCCAAATCTTGGCATCAGAGTCACCTCAAGCAGGGTACCGTGTTTTTCTCGAGCAATACGGCCAGAACAAGAGCNCACCTCAAGCAGGGTACCGTGTGTTTCTCGAGCAATACAGCCAGAACAAGAGCCAGGGGCGACAAACCCTAGACGACGCATGGAACGTAGTAGGTCAGAGGCAAGGAGAGAGTCTTATGGACTATTACGGTAGGGCAGCTGCGCTGTGGATGAGACTTCGGTCGTATGGTGATACCAGGGATGAAAAGTCGATGTGCAGGCACATAGTCCGGGGATTTCTCCCAAGGTTTGAGAAAACTAAAGACCGTCTCCTGTTTGATTCGATGTTGTCGAGGGCTACCATGCAAGAGATGCTTAGGTTGGAAGAGCACGAGCTAAGGTACGAGCGGAGAGCTGGAGAGCGGAAGAGACGAGGCACGCCCTCGTCACTGCCGGCGTGGGCTGATAGATATACTTGTAGCAATGCCAAGTGATTGGTACGGGATGTTCCCATGGAATGAGGTAGAGCGGGAATACCGGTTGACATGTGTGGTACGTAGAATGGATTCCAGGGATATCGGATGTATAAGTTACCCCTGTTGTATTTGACGTCGCCCCCTCAACGGGGCTCGTGTGCGCGTATGCGGATGCAACTAATCACAGCAATTTTTTCTCCTCGGCGCGAGCCCGCCGAGTTGCCGATACCCTATTCAACACACGTCATGTGACAAGCTACCCCCAGTTCGGATCATCCTAACACGCTAGCGTGATATCATACGGGATCCCGAGGTGGGGCTAGCTACAAAAGGGTTAGGCCAGAGAACAGCGACACGGAAATCATGGAGCAGCAGCTGGATGAGCTCCAGCTCTCGGACGAGCGGCGAAACGTAATCGACGCGCTCATCAAGGAGCAGGTCAAGATCAAAGTAAAAGAAGCAGTAGCAGCAGAGCGCCCCGTAGCACAGAGCGAGGGCATGCCTTCCGAAGAAGGCGACACCCGGCTGGAGAGGCCGGCTGGCTCGGAGTCAAGCCCGCGACCCGAAGGTCAGCCCCGATCGCCGGCGGACGTCAGCCTCATCGGCAGCCTCGCGCGGGCCTTGCAAAGGGTCAAAATTGAACCGCAGGAGGAAAACAGGGAAGTCCAAACCCCCAAGGAAACAATACGTATTAGCGCAGGTATCACTATCCCTGCATTCACTGGGAAGTCTAGCCCCGAGGACGATGTACAGACGGCGGTAACGGTCGTTGCCAGTCAGTTCCGATCTTTGTTGGAGCAGGAGCGTTGCCTTGGGGCAATAGAGTCAAAGAACACAATTCGTGTAGGAAAGACTGATTTGGATATCTCGGCGTTGAAGGTGGAGCATGGGACGGTAGCTGTGGATCGGGCAGTTAAGGCATGGCAGCTGATAATATCCAAGATACAAGTACCCACGATAGTCCCTGCAATCCTAGCTAGTGGTTGCCCCACTGAATCGTGGGATCAGTTTCTCAACTATTACCGAGTGCACGCAGAAACGGACAAGTTGGAGTTGCAAGGGCAGTGGTACTCGTTGAAGCAGCAAGTAGGGGAGGAGCCCCGGCGCTATCTCACAAGAGCATCAGTACTTCGCCAGAAACTAGAAGCGTACGGTTGGGGGCAATCCGATCATGATGCTAACGTCCACTATGTGNCCCGGCGCTATCTCACAAGAGCATCAGTACTTCGCCAGAAACTAGAAGCGTTCGGTTGGGGGCAATCCGATCATGACGCTAACGTCCACTATGTACGCAACCTTCTGCCCGATTTCCATGTGCAGAGGAGCGTGTGGGTGGCGCATTCGGAGGTCAAGACGGAATTGGTAGAGAAGGTGATTCTGACTGCCTGGGCGAAGACGGAGGCCGCTAGGAAGAGGGCGTCGGAGAGCGTGGGGGCGTATGCCCTCGTCGCTGGCGGTGACAACCGTGGTGGTGGGGGCGGGAACATGGGGGATAGGGGAAAGACGAGAGGACAGCGGAGGACGGCAGCGCGGCAACAGCAGCAACAACCGCAGCAGCCACAGCAGCAGCATCAGTCGTACGTCAAGCACCAGCAACAGGTATACCCGCCGCCGTACCCGCCTGCGATAAAATATTGTGACCTCCACAACTCCTCGTCCCACAGCAACAAGGAATGTCGCTTGCAGCGGGGTTGGGGAGGTCCCTCGGGCGGCCAAGGTGCGAGCTACGGCGGAAGGCACGGGCCCCAGCATGGGGGCCGGGGCTTTTCTCGAGGAGGACGTCATCAGCAGCAGCCGGCAGGAGGAAGATTCGGGGGGAGTGGGGCCGCTTCCGGTGGGAGGGGCAGGGGCCCTTTTCACCAAGGACCGCCGGGCAGCAACCCCCCCGCCTACCCTGTACCTCAGCGGGGCTACGAATACAGCGCCTACCCCCCCCAAATGTACCGCCCGCAGGGAAATGAACCTGCCATCCACCCGAATGACCCTCGCAAGCGGTGTGAGAATGGCGGTGAACTCGGCCACAACCATCTGTTCTGTCCTTCACGTGTTGATGTCGGAAGGCCAGCTGGCATACCGGCCGCCAACGCGTCGCCCAGGCCCCCACCGTCCCGGCCGTCGGCCGGTGGCTACAGCCAGCGGCCGCCGTATGCCCACTCGTACGGGCAGGCCGACACCGCGCAGCGGTACGGCGGAGAAGGGGTAGAGCCAGGAGCAGCAGGAGCGACGACGGCGAGGATGGCAGCACCATCTACGGGGGGGCATGCAGTGACGCACGTGACCGGTGTTTATCAACAACCGGTGATGCACGCGAGCGGTGTGTACGAGTACCCACCCCAACAGCAGCAGCCGGAGCACCTATTCCCCCCCTTCCGACAGCAGCAGCCATTCCCCGCCCCTTTCGCCTCTCCCGCGCCTTTGACCGGAGCACCTTCGTCGGCGGGGGGGACTTTGCATGCGTGTGTTGTGAGGGACATGTCAAGTGAGTGCCAGAGTGAGATTTCGAGTGGGTTCGTGGGGGGTGAGGGGTATGCCTTGATGAACTCTATACCAGTTGTAAGGAAGGAGCGTGTAGGAGTTGAAGAATGGCTTGCAGACGCCGGTGCAACTAACCACACCACCGGAGCCCCCACGAGCATGTATGATGTGATCATCCCGCCCCTTGGTGGCGAGAGAGCGCAGATCGGTGATGACAGGACGATGCGAGTGCTTGGAATCGGATGTTTAAACGTGAGGTTCCATCTTGAAGGTAGAAACGTTTGCGTGAAGCTTTCCCGAGTACGTCATATAGAAGGCATGGGGTTCAATCGTTTCTCCCTCCACCAAGCACAGGGATTCCAACGTATTGCCTTGGAAGACGTAGGCACCCATCTTTTCCATGGCCAATTGACCTTTCCCCGTTGCGAGAGGGGTTCGTCGCTTTGGGCCACTCGCTTGCCGCCCAACTATGAAACGCCCACCGCTGTGCCTGTGATGCCTTTTTCCCCGGTACCCCCCCCGAGACGCGGGTGCCAGGGAGATTGAGGGGTCGGAGGGTGCGTTTCCAGGATGGGGGGGCCGAGCGGTCGACGTCACATGGCGGGAGCGGCGACGCTCCCGCCCACCGCTTCGGGCTTGTATCCCTGCAGGTTAAGGCAACGCCCCTGTCGACTCTCACCTTTCGCAGCGTCATCTGAAAGGTAAACTACGCGGGGTGCAGCAAGCCCGTTACTTGAGGGCACTGGGTAGTCGGCCGTGTTAGGCCGAGAGTGAGAGGTTGAGAGAGAGTGGGAGAAGGAAACTTGATTGGAGAGAGACGGCGGTAGCGGTGAACAGAAAGAAGGAAGAAAGAGGCGTGCGCAACACGCACGCAAGTCTCATCGTTCCAACCGCGCCGAAAGGGTCCCCGTGACTGCACCGGTGGTACCCTACAACACACGAATTTCCCAACACGCATCCCCTTGGGATCCTCACGACCACATACTGCTGCGAGTATATCTAACATCCCCCCTGCTCGCCACAGTTTCTCACTGAAAACTTTGCTAACATCCGATACCTCAACCCAAAGACGCCTTTTCAAGAATAGTCTATAGACTATGCCATCAAGACTATACCAAAATCTAAGAAATAAAAATCGTTCAAAGAAACATGAATGAATGCTGCATCGCGCGTAATGAATACTTGGCGCGGAAAATGAAAGCAAAACCAATACACAACCCATCAGAAAAGCAATAAATGTTCATGCCAAATTCATCACAAAATCACGGTGAGACTCGAAAGTGTCCTTCGGCAAGCTCTTCGTACATAAGAAAATCTGCACGCTGCTGGTATTGCGACGGCCCGTGGATCACCGACATTTCCTTCCTCTCTACCAGTTCCTTGAGAAAATGGTGCCTTACATCTATCTATGTGCTTCGAGTTCGAGTTTGAGATGGGGTTCTGCGCTAGTTGAATCGCCCCCTGGTTGTCCTCGAATACTGGGATGCACGGCATGTCGACCTGCGGCAACATGAAACGCCAAATTTTCCTCAACAACAAGATCTCC